ATGGGTATCCTTGTAGAAATCTAACAAATATAAACTAAGTGTGCGGATAATGTACTAGAAAGGAGGTTTCCCTTGCTGGTCTGTTATATACTGACCCTGGCCTCAAAATTAAAACTCCATTTTCTCTATAAAGTTCTCTGTAAATAAACATGAGAATCCCAAGACAAGCAGGATAAATCATGTTTTAAATACTACTTTATGATGTCCTCCAGTCTGAAATATTTTTATATGTTTTGTTGATTTTGAGACAGAGAGGAAGGGAGAGGGATAGATAGAAACATTGATGAAAAAGGAACATCATCAATCGGCTGCCTCCTGCATGCCCCCTACTGGGGATTGAGCCCGCAGTCTGGGTATATGCCCTGAACAGATATGAACCAGTAACCTCTTGGTTCCTGGATTAACACTCAATCGCTGAGCCACACTGGCTGGGCCAGTCTGAACTATTTTTAAACAACTTATTTGTCTTTTTAATAATGAAACTCACCTTATCTAATAATTGTGTTAGTTAGCTAATATTTTCTTTTAAACTGCCCTTTAAAAAGTTTGGCTCAGTGGATTGAGCGTCAGCCTGCGGATCTAAGGGTCCCAAGTTTGATTTTGGTCAAGGGCACATTCCCAGGTTGGGGGCTCAGTCCTGGGTGGAGGACATGCAGGAAGCAGCTGGTCAATGATTCTCTCTCACTGGTGTTTCTGTCTTTCCCTCTCCCTCTCCCTTCCTCTCTGAAACCAATAAGAAGATATTTTTTAAAAAGTAAGTACAGCAAAATTAGAGAATACACTTAGAATATAAAAATAGAGAATATAGCTGGGCTTACAATATTTCAAAAGTGGAAAGGTATTTGTTGAGTTGAGTTCTAATTCTGATAAACTGATTAGTTCAACATTCTTAAGCATAATATAAACTGTGAGAATGATAACGAGCATTTATTAAGAATGTGATATGTCCCAAGTATTGTTCTCAAACTTTTGCTTGTGTAATCTCACTTAATTTTCATCATAACTCTGTGTGTACCTGAAAGAACTGCTATTTTTTTTAAATGCATATTTTTTCATTTTGTATTTTTTTATTCACTTATATCATAAACATTTTCCACTATGAGAAAAGGAGGCATGGTTTACTAAAAGTCGCAGCCCAGGCAGTCTGGTTTCAGAGAAGATGCCTTCAACTGCATGAATGGAAGACGGGGCCCTGTGAGGTTTTTTACTTGAACAAAACTATTTTTAAAAATTATTCTGTTATTTTCTCCTCTAAAAGTTTGGGAGATAGTATCTTAAGAAATTAGTGTTTCTCTTAGTAGGTTTCTAGACTATCTGAGGATTCCAGAATTAGAGCTTGAGGTATTCACAGGCCAGAATCCATTTGGATGGAACATGAGAACTCTGGCCCTCTGCACATCCTTGCTTTGAGATCTTCCACATTTATAGATAGCATGCATCAGAATTCAGCATGTCTTTCAAGCTGGTCTGTTGAAAACACAAGTACGTAATGCAGTCAGACTTTATTTGGGCCATCCTCGGCTGGTCAGGCATACTGGCAATGAGAGATCTGAAGGCATACACTTGGCAGCAACTTCAAAATATCCAGTTGATCCCAGAACGTGAGCATGCTCATTATGTTGCATTTATTGTGCCTGGGTGCCCCGCTGTCCAAATCTACCCTGAGTCTCCAATCAAGAGGAAGCCTTGATAGGAACACTGCTAATATGACATGACTGGGGACAATACAGGGTGACATGACCCGAGGTGATGAAGAGAACACTTGTGAGTACATCCCCTCCCCCCTCCTTGCCACATGTCTTATGCATATAACATCCCTGCCTTGGCAGCTGCAGACAGAAAGGCCAAAAGATATAAAGTTGTATCCATCAACAGCCCATGGTCCACCTGAAATGCTGTCAGCTTACAGATGGACTTGTAGCCGCTGTCTGCATGCACCACACTCCCTCGCCTCTAGTTCCAGCTCTACTCTAGGGGTCAGCAAGGCATCTCCGAGAGCCCACTCACTTTTCACAAAGTCCTAGGGATGCAAGACAGGAGATAAAAGAGTCATCCAGTTGGCATTTGCACCATGAAGAAAAAAAAAAGGCAGCAAAAAAGAACAAATTGGGTTTTGATCGAGGCCCAGATATAAAGGAAACTAACATCAAAAATGAACAAAATCTGTACCTTTGTGGTTGCTGAAGCAATCTTCCAAAGCAGCAGAAGGGTACCCATTCCTGGCACCATAACACAAAGGCTCAGAGCCCACCATGAAGTGTCTACTTAGTTTTATGTAGTGAACCCCTTTCGTGTCCGGTGTTGGTCAGGGTCCATGTTCAAGGTTCAGGCTCTGGAGGAGGCTGAATGAAAGAGACTAGAAAATATTAATTTGGAAATATTGGGGGCCAGGTGGGAGCCCAACTCAAGGGGAAGGACTCCACCCCGCTCTGGTTTTGCTATCCCTTTTATTAAGACTATGGGATATACTGATAGCTTTTAGCCTGCCTAAAAGCTATTGGTATATCCAATTCAATAATAGCCAATCAGCAAGAATTTACATAAAACTAGAAGGTGAAAGTTCCTTCAGCTACCATTGTCTCAACTAAACAGAGTTTCAAGGTTGACCAGCCTTCTGTGTTCCCTGTCCACACCTCTCTGCTAGTGAGGACAATGGGAGGCTTCCAACAGTTTTACATTTAGAATAATAATTTAACCTTTATGTGATGCCTGTATTTACAGCAAATACATGGGACTATAGCTGAACAACATACGAGTGTCTTAATGGAGGAAATTCTCACTCTGCACTGTTGTATTGTATCCAGAGAGCAATTCCATAATTTCCTATATGAATTTTTGATTGACCTAGGTGTTAAGAAATGTCTTACAACTTCTAAAAATATTTTCCCTTCATTAAATAGGAATCAGTGTCTATTTTCTCCAGAGAGAATTCCATACATGCTGACTTAAATTGTATAGTCAACACTGAAACCAAACTGAGTCTACATAATTTAATCTTTCTTTGAATATTAAGAAAATTATTTTGAGATCTCCTTGAAACTCGGGAATTTCATTATGATTTCAACTTGTATTGTATAAAAGAAATGTAAACATAGCAGCTGGCAGACAAATCTGAGACTAGTATATCAATAGGCAGTTCCTATCTGGCAGTTTGGGGATGAGATTCCTCAAGAGATCTCTTTACGAGTCAAAAATGAACACACTATGAACTTTATCACTTTAGGTAGTCAAGCCAAAAACAAGATGAGTTTTCTCTTAATATTACCATTACTTGCCTCATAGACACTGTAAAAATATACTCAGAAAACTAAGGCAACCTGAATTTTAAATCTTATGGTGGTAATCTGGCATAAGACAGGGTTTCTATATAGGCTGTTGAATGGGAATTTTTTTTCTCCTTAAAAAAGAAAATCATTGTTGTCTTTTAGGAGAGAGATAAAGGCAAAAGACATAAAGGAATGAACTTAAGATGGGTTTTCATTTTTTTAAAAAATGTGCTAGGTCAATGGAATTACTGTAGAACTAGTTATGTGAAAATTGATTATAAATGAATAAAGAAACCAATAAGATAAGAATATCACATTTATTAAAAAATAATTATTAATTCCTATTCTTTTTTATGTTTCTTTGACAACTAGTATTTCCTTCGTTGTGAAATAGTATAAATTTTAGGCAAATTTTCAAAGTTATTAAATAATGAAATATTTTTTGAGGGAAAAGAGGGGGAAGAAAGAGAGAAAGAAAAGAGACTATGACAAAGAATGGAGAAAGAAAGAAAATAAAAAGGCATCTTTCAAACAGCTTCCAGGAGTTGAATTAAGTATGGCATAATTTTTTTTCTCCCAAGTCTTAGTCTTGGCAGGTTCCTGCTAAAATGCAGGAATTTCATAGATGTGGGAACTGGTGATGGAAAATGCACTGCTACACACAACAGTGTGTTGTACTTGAGAGGAACTATATGGGAAAAAATAACACCCTAGAATAAATACAAATGAAATTCATGTATCAAAACCAATACTGTGAAAATAGTTTTAATATTTCTTGAATTTATATCTAGTCATTAACCTAAATGCAGATTTTAGTTCAAGCTACACTTCTGCCTCATGGTCAGAAGGCCTGAAAACCTGTGATGTGGAAAATTGGCAGGATAAAGAATATTGAATTGGTCTCCATGAAAAACTGATTTTGGCAGCCATAACCTCCCCGTTGGGTGCCCCCCTCCCCAATCAAATTCTTCTTTCTATTTCACTCTTGTCCCAGGAAAGAGGCCAATGGAACGGTATATATTAGCTAAAAGAGTAAGCAGATGTCAGCCTGACCATTCACCATAGGACCTTTCTCATTGGCCTTGAATCTCATGGTCAGGGTGAGTCCCTCCAAAAGGGACTCTAGACTCACCCTCGGAAAGCACAGAAGTTGGAGGCTTCCATTTCTGCTGACTTTGGTTTCCTTCTTCTTTAGGGAAGGAAGTAGAGTGAGCCATCTATCTGCCTTACCCAATAACCCTAAAAGAAACTGCAATTCCCAAATGAAAAAGATCAATGTATCTGAAAAAAAATCCAAAAAAAACAAATATTCCTCTCTTTCACTTCTACTCCTGTTGAAATCCCACATTCTGTTTGGTTCCCTCACAAAAGTGGACATTTCCTCAGGGTTTGATTTAGTCTAGAGGACAAAATGCAGGGACTTCTCCCAAACCATTTCTCCACCTCGGAAGATCCTAATGGCCCACCTCCCTCTCTCCTGGCCTAGTCCTAACCCAGGCTCCCTTAAGCACCCTAGTCTTGGTGGAGAATATTTTTCTCCCAGCCCCCCTTCCAACCACCCCTTAACCCCCACAGCTTCTGAGGGAATGTGCCCCAGGCCCCCTCCGGTGGGTTCCAGGCCCTTTGCATGAGCTAGTTGGGGAGAGAATTTTCTCCCTCCAGTGAATGTTGTATTCGTGTGCTGTACCTGTGCGTCTCTCGGTGGTTTCACCCTGATCTTTTCTCTCTTTGCAGCTGGTTAATAATCCACTAGCAAGTCAGGCTGCAGCGGCTGCAGCAGCAGCAGCCATGGGCTCCATAGCAAGCTCACAGGCCTTTGGCAATGCCCTCTCCAGTCTTCAGGGGGTCACAGGTCAACTAGTTACTAATGCACAAGGACAGGTGAGTGGGAGATGGGAACAAGAGTGAATATTTATGGCAGATTGAACTCGGAAAGGAAATGAATTTCTTTTGCATGACAGTGATATGTAACCACATTTATATGAGGCAAATAAATAATGTTTACTTTAGCAATGTCAAGAATAGGAGAAGGGTTGGGAGGTTTTTCTATATTTTAGAAGGAAGATTTTTTTTCCCCCTTCTCAGAATGTCTGTCACATTTTTGTTTTTATTTCTATATGGTGACTTGTTTTCAGACCTTAATTGAAGAAATTAACTTTTCATAACAGGGTATTCTTTAAAAAAAAAAAAAAGGATAAACTTTAAAAATAGAATTTTGGTTTTGCTTTTTTATTTTTTCATTCTTTTAAAACTTGGGTAATTTTGGAAATTGGTAAGTTTCCTTCTCTAATTGCTCTAAAATTTTTAGATTTAATCAGTTGACATTATAAGCCAGTTTCTGTATGTATGGGGAGGTGATTGGAAAAGACTGACAAACTTGTGTAAAAAGTCAAAGAAGAAGGGTGAAGCCCACTGCAAGTTGGATGCACGTGCCTAGCTTCCTGCTGATTCTCATGGAAGCTCGGTGGCCTCTTGTATGCTTGTAGGCTTCCTTCAGTGTGCCAGGCCGACAACCCTTCCTCACGTCCTGAGCGGTACGCGTGTTCCTGTACACCACCTATGTGCCAGTATGGTGGTCACCAAAACACTCATGGAGCTTAAGATGAGGGTGGCTGCATCTTCAAAACCCCAATTAATATAAAAGCTGATTGAAAAACAAACCAGAGCTGAAGCTGATGGTGTCAGGGCGCCCTCCATTCAGAGGCCTGACACTCCATCTCAAATGTTACCATTTCTTTTTTTTCCTTCCTAGGCCAGTGGTCAGCAAACTCATTAGTCAACAGAGCCAAATATCAAAAGGACAATGATTGAAATTTCTTTTGAGAGCCAAGTTTTTTAAATTTAAACTTCTTCTAACGCCACTTCTTCAAAATAGACTCACCCAGGCCGTGGTGTTTTGTGGAAGAGCCACACTCAAGGGACCAAAGAGCTGCATGTGGCTCGAGAGCCGCAGTTTGCCAACCATGGTCCTAGGCTCGCCATTTTAATCTTATTTCTCCAGCTATTATTGTATTAGTGTGTGTGTGTGTGTGTGTGTGTGTGTGTGTGTACATATATATGTAGTTTACATCCATTTTTCATCTTTATTGAAAGTATTTCTGATAGTGACTCACAAGGAAGAAGGAGCTTGCACCCTCTCCCAAGATTTTTCCTCCCAGAGTTATTTACCTGACAGAGTTTAGGCATCCCTGCTTGGCCTGCTCTGTGGAGAACGGGAATGGTGATATCTCGAACCCTGCTTTTATTTTACATAAAGAGTAAACAGAGATGCATTATAAGCTAACCCATCTCCAGGTAGGTCCCAGGGAAAAAAGCTGACCTTGTTATATTTCCTGGGCGGGTGCAGGATTGTCCCGTCAGAACCCCGAGGGCTGAACGATAGAGCTTGTCAGAGAGCGGCCCCAGGTAATGAATCATCTTATCACAGGTGCACACCACACATATTAAAGGGGGATTGTGTGAACGCCGTGCCCTCCACAGTCACCTTTCAATGTCGGCTCTAACCCGTGTTCCAATCCCTTTTCATCAAAGCCTCATTTTATGCAGCGGCTCTAAATGGGGGCTCTCAAAAGCCTATTAAGATTTCTGGAGGGACGGGTATTGGCGTGGAGGGAAAGTTGGTTATAATATCTATAACTCATTCTCAGATCAGGTCAATCCTAGAAGCTGTTTCCTAGAGTGATGCCCAAAATAGAACACCCTGATTTATTCCTGCGAGGCCACACACAGGCCCTTGCGAGGTAGAATTTAAGAGTGCGCGATAGAAACCCAATCCACTGATGCGTGTTTCCCTCTGGTTTTTCTGTTCCAGTGTCCAAGTAAAATGTACCACCACTTGAGAATTTGTGATGGAGAAAATTCCTTAAGGATTAGTAGGAGTTTGTTCTTCTCATAATTTAATGGCTGATCATTTTGCCAATGACAAGCCCATCTCCTTATCAGGGGCTAGAGTTCCATCCTTCGCTTTGGCCTTTGCCTGCTCCCATCTCTCCCAGCCCATAATTACCCATAAGGAAATGAGCTTCAAAGTAGACGCTTGATTGGTACTCTGCATATAGTGAGTAAGCATTGATTGTATTTAATTTTTTTTATTTTAGAAACGGTATTAAAATAGTTGATTTTATATGGGTACACAAACCTTCTCAAGTGAAAAAAAGAAAAAGAAATACATTAACAGCTGAAACTGGTTTTGCTCAATGGATAGAGCGTCTGCCTGCAGATTGAAAGGTTTCAAGTTCGATTCCAGTCAAGGGCATGTACCTTGGTTGTGGGCACATCGCCAGTAGGGGGTGTACAAGGAGGCAGCTGATCAATGTTTCTCTTTCATCGATGTTTCTAACTCTCTATCCCTCTCTCTCCCTCTCTATAAAAACTCAATAAATATTTTTTTAAAGAAATACATTTACAGAGAAAACAATATTGCCTACTTGTGAAATCTTTAAAAATGTGTATTTATTGATTTCAGAGATTAAAAAAGGAGAGAGGTATAGAAACATCAATGATGAGAGAGAAACATTGATCTATTGCCTCCTGCACACTCCCTACTAGGAATTGAGCCCAAAACCAGGGCATATGCCCTGATCAAGAATTGAACTGTGACCACCTGGGTTCATAGGTCAATGCTCAACCACTGAGCCATGCTGGCTGAGCCCACTCAGGAGATCTTGTCTGAGAGTTTTAGAAACATGCTCAACAGCATCATGTTTTCCTCCAGTGCCAGAAGAGACCAAGATACTTACAGTTCCAAATAGACAATTTGACCACATTCATGTAGCAGTATGTGTATGTCTTTTAATCTTTGTAATATAAACACCATCATCTCTTCAGAAAAAAAGTACATGCCTGAATCTGTTGATACAAAGATACCTATCCAGGTCTTACAAAGTGGTCAGATTACAACGAAAAAGAAGGGCAAAAATTAGTTGTTCAGTGTGTATTCTTTTTTGCTTGTGTTCATGTGGTACAAAAAGTAAAAATATGTTGTAATCGGGTTAATACAATTAGCCTTGCTCAAAATACTGCATAATATAGGATTACTATATCCAGCCCGTTTTCATTTCCTTAAAAATCTCCAAAGAGCTTTCCCAGAAAAGGTAGGAAAAGAAAACTCTTCATATATTTAGAGATTCTTCTCTTGTAAGTTTTTTATCTTAACTATTTTTCATATTTGAAAATGCACCCAGAAGTAATATCATTAAAGTCCAGTGGACATTTGAGAAGCATATTTTACTCCACTAATAATTTGGTGAGGTAAGCCTGAAGAAGCCACCTCCACTGCCAAGAGTCTCTTCGCTACCTAGAAACCAAGGTGGAACGGCCCAATGGCTAAGAGCCCTGACTGAATTCAGACCTGCCTGGGGTTAGCTTTAGGCTTTACCTTTTCCTGGTTGGATGAACTTGGTGCAGTGACTTAACCTTCCTAAACCGGAACCTCATCCTCAAAGTTCTCAGGTGACCTCTATGAGACACCTGGGCCATGGCTTGTGCTTGCTGGGCAAGGGGCCTATGAGACAGATGTCTCTCCTCACAGGGAGACTTTTTGAAATCACTCTTCAGACTCAGCCTTCAACTCTCAACAGGAAACCCCACCACCTGGGAATTTTTTTGCTTGGAATCCGACTATGTTTCCATTTATTGGATCTCAGTAAATGTAAAGGGATGGGAAATCTTGATTTATTCAAGAATGTTTATTTTCTGTTCTTTCCCCCTCCCAATCAATAATTATGAGCAAATATTAAGGAAAAAAAAGTGCTATTTGTTTGCATTTAATTCAAAAGTCAGACACTATTCTACAGAGTGATTAATTTTAACAGAAATACTAAATTATAAAGCCACAAAGTATATACATTTCCATGTTAAGGTATTTTAAAATTATACCCAACCTCACTCTGAGGTGGGAAGATAACAAACTTCCTATTGGTAATTAGTGATCATGAATTTTATAATGACATTATAGTGCTGAGAAGAATATTCTAATTCTCTTTCCTTAACAAATTAGCAAGTGTGGAAGCTAGGCCATGCAATGAGCACTAGCAATAGACTTGCTTGAATTCCCAAGTCAGTCAATAACTTGCTCTGTGACCTAAAGCAAATTACTTGAGCTCTCTGAACTTCAATTTTATTACTAAGGATAATAAATTCTAATCCCTAGATTAGTAAGATTAAATTAGATATGAAGAAAGAAAGAAAGAAAGAAAGAAAGAAAGAAAGAAAGAAAGAAAGAAAGAAAGAAAGGAAGGAAGGAAGGAAGGAAGGAAGGAAGGAAGGAAGGAAGGAAGGAAGGAAGGAAGGAAGGAAGAAAGAAAGAAAAACCCGCTGAAACCGGTTTGGCTCAGAAGATAGAGCATCGGTCTGCGCACTGAGGGGTCTCAGGTTTGATTCCGGTCAAGGGCATGTACCTTAGTTGGGGGCACATCCCCAGTAGGGGGTGTTCAAGAGGCAACTGATTGATGTTTCTCTCTCATCGATGTTTCTAACTCTCTATCCCTTTCTCTTCCTTTCTGTAAAAAATCAATAAAATATAAGAAGAAAAAAAAAAGAAAGACCCACCATAGTGCCTATACATACTCAGTAAGTGGTTGCCACCATCATCATCATTTAGAGCCTTGTGTAGTATTTTCTGGAATTCTATATTTGGTTTGAAGATACAACAAGAGGCAATACAGTATACAGGCAAATAAAATACAGGGTTTTAAGACTGCCGTTCATTAGCTGTGAGACCTTGGACAATAGACTTACCCTCTCTGTGCCTCAGGTTTTTTCATCTGAAAAATGGGGATAATAATGGCATCAGCTTCAAGAATTAAAGTTCTTAAAAATGGAGTCAGGCACGGAGTCACCATTCAGTAATGCTATCACTCAGTAAGTGCTATCTGTTATTA